ATATTATACTAAAATAATTCGAACTGTTTGACAGCGACATCTAGATTAACGAAAGAGTCAACGAACAAAAACGTTGTCATCAACCATTCAAGAATAAGGAAATTGTATTATTGAAGACGTGGATAAATTTAGACTAGATTCATGTCAATCTAATCTTTGAAATATATTTTTGCGTCATTTGTCAAACTATGATCAGATTTATTTGAAATTGCCATGGGTGATTTGACGCAGCCAACGTTGAGGGTATCGAGATATTTTTCGAAGAGTGTGAACATTTCTGTTCTAAGATAATACAAAAAAAATCTTCGGCTTCCACGAAAAAAAAACAAAAGTTTTTCATCATTGCGTGAGTGTCACATCTTCGGTCGAGCCGTCCCTAAGAAGAAAAAACATTTTACTGATCTATATATGTATTTCTCAATAGATGATGCAATCTGATGCAATAGAATCATTTTTAAGTGTATAGTTGTCTTGTCTTTTTTCATTTCATTATAGATCATCAATATTTTCAAGAATGGTACTCGATATTGAATTACTTCGTCGAAATCCAGAAATAGTTCGTGATTCTCAAAAAAAACGTTATAAAGGACTTGAACGTGTCGAAAAAGTTATTGAACTTGATACACAATGGCGTACAGTTCGTTATCAAGCTGATCAATGGAATAAAATAAAAAATCTTTGTGGACGTTCTATTGGTACAAAAAAACAAGCAAAAGAAAATGAAGGTAATACAGAAGATTTACCAGAAAATTTTAAAATTCATTATGAAACACTTAATCTTGAATTAATTGGACAATTAACAATTAAACAAATAAAAAATCTTAGTACATTAATTGATAATGAAATTGAAAAAACAAAAGAAAATTTAATTCGAATTGAAAATGATCGTAATTCTAATTTACATGAAATAGGAAATATTGTTCATGAATCTGTACCTATCAGCGATAATGAGGTAAACAAAAAAAAGAAATTTTATTTTTTTCTTTCTTTCAATTAAAACATTCTCTTTCTTTTTTGTTTTTTAGGATAATAATACAACAGAACGAACTTTTGGAGATGTGGAAACACGTAAAAAGTATTCTCATTTTGATTTAATGCATATGATTGGTGGTTATGATGGTGAACGTGGAGCATTAGTTGCTGGATCTCGTGGATATTTTATGAAGGTTTGATATAAATAGAAAAACAATAAATATATATATTTAGTTTGTTAAATTTTGTTAGGGTCCTGCTGTATTTCTTGAACAAGCAATTATTCAATTAGCTTTAAATATATTAAGTGATAAAGATTTTGAAATACTTTATACACCATTTTTTATGCGAAAAGAAGTTATGCAAGAAGTAGCTCAATTAAGTCAATTTGATGAAGAACTTTACAAAGTAAAGAATTATTTTTTTCAATAAAACAAAAAAATTTTTATAAAATTATGATTAATTATTTAATAGGTTGTATGTAAAAATGATAAACCAGGTGAATCAAGTGATGAAGAAAAATATTTAATTGCAACATCTGAACAAGCTATTGCTGCTTATCATCGGTTAATATTTTATATCTATTCATTTTATTGAATAATATTTCAATAAATTTTAGAGATGAATGGCTTGAAACTCATCGATTACCTATACGTTATGGTGGTATTTCAACATGTTTTCGACAAGAAGCTGGTTCTCATGGTCGTGATACTCGTGGTATTTTTCGTGTACATCAATTCGAAAAGGTTTTCATATAATCTCTTACTTATAAATTCTAATTTTATTTTAATACTTTCTATTTTTTGTTTTTAGGTTGAACAATTTTGTATAACATCTCCACATGACAATGAATCATGGAAAATGTTTGAGGAAATGATTGGAAATGCTGAAGAATTTAATAAAAAATTGGGCATTCCTTATCGTATTGTTAATATTGTTTCTGGTTAGTAGATAAATAGAAAATAAAATAAATAAGAAAAAAATTAAATAAATTTATTTATAATTATAGGTGAATTGAATAATGCAGCAGCAAAAAAATTTGATTTAGAAGCATGGTTTCCTGGTTCGGGTAAATTTCGTGAACTTGTTTCATGTTCTAATTGTCTCGATTATCAATCGAGACGTTTGAAAATTCGTTTTGGTGAAACAAAAAAGAGCAATGAAGCTGTAAGAAAATCATAATGGTTGACTTTCTTTTTTTTCTTCATTTGTAATGATTTAGGCTGAATACGTTCATATGTTAAATGCAACAATGTGCGCAACAACACGTACTATTTGTGCTATTCTTGAAAATTATCAAACTGACGATGGTATACTTGTACCTGAAGTTCTTAAGCCTCTTATGCCTAAAAGTATGTTTATTTTATTTTAAATCTTTTGTTT